TCGGCCAGGAGAAAAGACTGTGTTCACCTGGAATGTAACAGTCCTCAAGATACTCCTGCTTCTCAGGGTAGTCCTCCTTCTCTGGAGACATCAAAACCCACCTGGGTGTGACCCTGGGGACCCTGCTGTGGGTGAGCTGCTGGAGCAGGGGGGTGGGATGAGGTGATCTCCAGAGGTCCCTCCCAACCCCCAGAATGTTTCAGAACAAGTGCTGCCAGTGGAGACCTGGGCTGGCTGCCCTCACCCAGAGACCCCAACACCCAACATCTGCCCCTTCTCCACCAACACAGCCCATGCCACGCAGGAGGCCAGAGCCTGGTGCTGGCCCAAGGTGACCAAGGCTCCTGAAGGAGGTGACTGAGCCCCCACTGCCCTGGCAGCCGTGCCCATTCCCCAAATGGGGCAAAAGGGTTCCTGAGGCCCTGCTCTAATCCCACGGAGGGGGAAATGCACGTCACCTAGAGCTTAGCAGGGGATGAAGCAATACCCAGCAAGGCAGGGAAGTTGTTGGCAGAGGTCAGCCAGCTGCCACCATCCACGACCAGGGTGGTGCCCGTCACGTAGGAGGAGAGGGGGCTGGCCAGGTACAGGGTGCTGTGGGCGATCTCTGTCTTGTTCCCTGCCCGCTGCAGGGGGATCATCTCCAGCAGGCTTGCTTCCTTGGCAAGCTGCCCACCTAAAAGGGGTAGGAGAAAGTCAGCTGGGAGCATGGGACCACCTGCCCAGCAGCCCAGCAGCACTGCTTGCATCGAATCCTGGAGTGGTTTGGGATGGAAGAGATGTTTAATGTCATCCAGTCCAACCCTCCCCCAGCCCTGCCAGGTCCCCACTGCCCCATGTCCCTCACACCACATCTCCACAGCTTGGAAACCCCTCCAGGGGTGGGGACTCCACCACTGCCCTGGGCAGCCTGGCACAGCCCTGGGCAACCCTCCAGGGCAAGAAATTGTTCCTCAGGGACAACTGAAACCTCCCCTGGGGCAACTTGAGGCCGTTTCCTCTTGTCCTGTCCCTTGTTCCTTGGGAGCAGAGCCCGACCCCCCCCTGGCTCCAGGCTCCTGTCAGGAGCTGTGCAGAGCCAGAAGGTCTCCCCTGAGCCTCCTTTGCTCCAGGCTCAGCACCCCCAGCTCCCTCAGCTGCTCCTCCCCACACTTGGGCTCTAGACCCTTCCCCAGCAGCTTCATTGCCCTTCTCTGGCCACACTTGCACAGGGCTCTCAGAGCCTGGGCAGCCACGGTGGCATCACACACCTCACGAGCTGCCTGGCACTGGTGGTCCCAGTCCCCTCGCAGAGGGACAGCAGGAGGCCACCCCAGAGGCAGGCAGGAGGCCCAGGTTGCCTTACCCAGGCGCTGGTAGCCCTCGGTGCCAGTAATGGGGCCTGGTGCCAGGCTGTTCACCCGGATCCTGTTGGGTCCCCACTCCACGGCAAGGTGACGGGTCATGGCATCTGGGAGGGGGTCACAACAGCAATGAGGAATGCAGAGCACAGACACTCTGGCCCAGAGCAAAGAGCCCTGAGAGAGAGAAGAGCCTCATCCTAAACACCAGCACGTAGCGGCCGCACATCCCCCTGTCCCAAGGCCATCGTCCCATCCCAATATTGGGGAAGAACCAGCTTCTTTACTAGCCCCAGCCAGCTCCCAGAGCCCCAGGGAGGAGAGTCCAGGTACCTATGGCAGCCTTGGCAGCACCAGCATGCACCTGCAGGGCCTGCCCTCGGTAGCTCAGGGTTGCTGTGATGTTCACGATGACCCCGCCGTGGTCCTGCAGGGGGAAAGGAGATGTGGTGTCAGGCTGGGAGCAGGGGACACGCAGGGGAGTGGTGGGACAAGAGAGCTGGGCTAGGAGGGACCATCCCCCGTGGGCACTGCCACCTCTGGGTTGCTCACCCCCTCCCTGGGGCAGCCAGCAGGGGCTCTTCTGGAGAGGTGGGACAGGCAAAGGCCAAGGGAAGGCACGAGGAGTAGGAAAAGGAGCAGCAGGTCACAGGTTTGACACTAACCCCCTGCCTACCAGGAGCTTTTCCAAGAGTCCTCTGGCTTCACTTACCCGGAAATATTTCTCAAAGAGGACCTTGGAGGTGTTGAAGGTGCCCATGGTGTCAATGTCTATCACTGTCTTGAAGGCATTGAAGGACAACGCGCTGGCTGGGCACAGAAAGTTTCCTGCAGCATCTGAGGAAGAAGCAGCCAGAGGCACAGTCAGGATGGGGCCAGGAGAGGCTCAGACAGGTTCAGAACCCTCTGCGAGAGGGCTGGTGGGCAATGCTGTCTGGGTAGGCTGGAGAGCTCATGGAAACAGCCCTGACAAGGGGATAAACAGCTTGTGGCTCAGGCCCAGCAGCACCTGCCCGAGGGTGGGAGGGTGCTGGTGCAGCAGGAGCAGGGCTGACCCACCCTCAGCCAAGCACAGATGGCCACAGACCCCCAACAGGTCTCTGCTGCCCTGGAGCCCAGCCCCTCTGCACTCCCAGGGGCTGCCCAGCTGCTCCCAGGCCAAACCAGTGCAAGCTGGGCACTAAGGAAACACAACCCTTGTGCAGGAAAACCCCCTTGGCTCAGGAAAACACCCTCCCTCCTGGGGGGTCCGTGCCAGACCCCCCCCTGCCCACTCCAGCAGCTCACTGTTAACCAGGATGTCAATCCTCTTGAACTGCTCCAGCGCCTCATCCACGGCTGCTGCCACTGTCTGGGGCTGCCTGACATCCAGGGCCAGGGGCAGGCACTGCTGCCCTGTGGCTGCCATCAGCTTCTTGGAGGCCTGCAGAGGAAAAAAAGAGCCTCGAGATGCTTCCCAGGCCTCTCTCCTTCAGCAAAGGTCAGAGCCAGACCTCGTTAAGAGCTCAGGCAGGAGCCCCGTCCCTGTGAGCACAGGGAGAATGCTGTGGGCAGGGCAGAGACCTGCCTGAGCCTGGCCAGGTCCAGCCTGGCAGCACCCTGCAGCTCAAGCCCTGGGGCAGCCAGAGGAAGCTCCTCCACCTCCTGTCCCAGCTGAACTCCAGGCTGTGTCCCCGAGGCCACAACTCCCTGAGCCCAGTTTGTCTCCCTGGCCCCTCAGCAACACAACCTGAGCAACATCCCTGCAGGGCAAGTACAAAGGTCAGACCCCAACGAGGCGTTTTTGGCAGGAGCCCAGATAAAAATTAACCTTTAGATCTAAAACTCAGCAGTAGGGAAAAGGCCGATGGCAGAGCAGAGGCTGGCAGGGTCTCTGCCCACAGCTCTGGGGCTCAGGGTCTGCCCCGGGGGCTGGGGGAGGATGTGACTGTCCCAGAACATTAAGCAGGGGGGACAACCCTGCACGACACCCCACGCTCCTGCTCGGGCTTGTGGGGCCCTTCTGGGAGGAGCTTTGAGCCCCAACAAGCACAAGCAAAGCTGGGTGAAGAGTCCCTGTGTCCTCAGAAGGCTCCAGCCCCTGAGGGCTAAAAGGCTCCTGGGCATGGCAGCTGGTTTCCTGGCAGCAGGAGGGAATGTGGAACTGCACCAGCACCCCAGGGGGGCAGCTGGCTCCTGGCAGCTCACCCCCCCACGCTGCCTTGGATCCTGAGTGTATTCCAGGCACAGCTGCCCCAAAGCCTGCACCCCAAGGCACTGGATCCATGACCAGGCCAGCTCTGAGGTGAGAGGCACAGGGGTGGGTGGTTGCTGTGCCCAGCCTGCCACCAGCTTCTCCAGTCACTGCCTTCCAGACCTGCATCCTCCCCTCTGCCTCCAAACAGGAGTTTTGGGGCTCAACGTATCCACCTCAACACACAGCACCCTGGGACAAGGGGGGTCTTGTCTTACTCAGAGCTGAGATTTCAGTCTGACTTGGGGCTCTGCCACCTCCCTCCTGACAAACCTTCCCCCCAGGTCGTTTCCTTGGGTCTCACCAAGGTGCCAGGTGGAGCAGACACCCCCAAAGCTGGCGGGTGAAGGCAGCAGGTCCCACGGTGAGCTCCACCCTGAGGTGGGGCGGGTGCAGCCCCCCCTAAACCCACACCCATCCCGCCCTGGATCCCTGCCCGCGGGT